TAGAGACAGACAGACAGACAGACAGATAGATAGATAGAGAGATAGATAGAGATAGATAGATAGAGCGATAGATAAATAGATAGATATAGATAGATAGAGCGATAGATAGATAGAGATAGAGAGATAGATAGATAGATAGAGATAGAGATAGATAGAGATAGAGAGAGATAGAGATAGAGAGAGATAGAGAGAGAGATAGAGATAGGGAGAGATAGAGATAGAGATAGAGAGAGAGAGATAGAGAGAGAGACAGAGAGATAGATAGAGAGATAGATAGATAGATAGATAGAGAGATAGAGAGAGAGAGAGATAGAGAGAGCACATTAAATGTCATACATTATGCATTCCAAAATCTTAAAGATACAGTTAAAAAACACCACCAACATTATTAGAGAGATAGATAGATAGATAGAGAGATAGAGATAGAGAGAGAGAGAGAGATAGAGAGAGAGAGAGATAGAGAGATAGAGATAGAGAGATAGAGAGAGATAGAGATAGATAGAGAGATAGATAGAGAGAGATAGAGAGAGATAGAGATAGAGAGATAGATAGAGAGATATAGATAGATAGATAGAGATAGAGATAGATAGATAGATAGATAGATAGATAGAGAGAGAGAGAGATAGAGAGAGCACATTAAATGTCATACATTATGCATTCCAAAATCTTAAAGATACAGTTAAAAAACACCACCAACATTATTATTTGCCTTTTAAGGTCCATGAAGCCCTTACAGACATTATAAATGGAGTTTGGGAATATAGACATTTGACACGTATACTACCACTAAAACAAAATAACTTTTGGTTCTTGTCCTACATTATTAAATAAGTGTTAATACCAGCCAGTATGAAGGACCCCACACACGAAATGAATCCAGATAAGAAGCTGTTGAAGGGAAACGTTCCCACCAGCACACAGTACAGGAACTGGAACACTCCGGTCAGCAGAATGTACAGCAGATACGCGTCGATCACCTTCAGCTTATTCGGTGTGCTGCTCCTGTACTCCTCCACAAAACGCGATATAACTGAAAACACCGAATTAGACATGGTTTCTGCAGGAATTGTGCACAGACACCCTGGAAATCAAGCAGCGAGGAGATGAATGACGTGTAAGAGAGAGACAGATGTGCGTCCTCTAAACGGTCCCCGCTGGAACGGCAGGTGCATTTTAGTTCCGGTGCTCGTGAAGCGTAAAGCGTTCGTGTTCAATGCAAAGCAATTCAACTAATCCTAATTTTCTCCCAGAGTAATTTTCCAAATCCACTCAGAACAACCGGAGACAACTGTGAAACAAACGAAGTATTGTTTTTAATTCTCAAATTCATAATGTATTCAGGTATTTTTTTTCCAAAACATAATTACGCAATAAAATCAAAGCAAAGATGATTCCTTATCACCTTATTGGTACACTGACGGTTTGAAACGTCAACATTTCATTATAAATAATATATTCACAAATTAAGATAAGACTTGTTTCATGACATTTCACCCACTTCTTTTATTTCTGTGGCGCGGCTCCTTTAAAGGCGCTGACGTCAGCGTTACAAAACACAAACACAACACGGGCTTTAAAGTGACGGTCTGTGTGACAGTTCCGGTAGCGAATACAAACATCTATGCCAGTCTGTTCTTGTGGTTCTGTCCTGTATTATGTTTCATACTAATGTCTCCTGCAAACGCCGCAATGCAAGACGGGACTGACACAGAGTGAGTACCGTATTTGAATATACAATCATAATACACTCTTGAGATGAGTCGCTCGTGTAACATGAAGTTTCCTATTATTATGAAACACACTGTATGTTTAACATGCGACTCTTTCAGAATCCCTGCAGTGAGTGATTGAAATAAAGTAATAGATGAATTCATACTTGGTCTGTCATGATTTGTTCAGGGTGATCTCATAACGTTATGCAAAGTCATGCTGAGCTGTTACATCACTATAGTTATGGCTGGGTTTTTGAACTAAATAACACCTCCAATAATTTACAACTTAACTTTTCTGTGTTATTATTCCTTATAGGAGTGTTAATTTTTAAATTTAAGATTAAAATGTTGATTTAAATGCCAAAGGCAAGTTCCATTCATATGGTGTACAATACAGTTCATAAATAAAATATTATGTTATAATAAAGTGATGCTACCAACATAATTAACATCTTAACTTTTTTTTGTCTTATTTCTCATTTCAGATTAATTGATTAATTGTAGATTAATTGTACCTTTTATTCATATCATGTACAGTACGGAGCATAAATGAAAAAAAAATATATTTTTTTTTAATAAATTACATCTCAACTTTTCTGTCTTATTATTGCTTATAAATTTAAGACTAAAATGTACATTTAAATGCTAATGCCAACTTCCAAATACATGGTGTACCGTACCTACATAAATAAAAATGTATTTTATAATAAAGTGATTCTCCTAAACTTACATTTTCTGTCTTATTATTGCTTATTAGAGTATTCATTTTTAAATTTAAGACTAAAATGTATGTTTTAGTGCTGATGTTAACTTTGATTCACATAGAGTATGGGACAGACCATAAATTAAATTTATTTTTAAATTTTATTTTTTACATTCGATAATAAAGCGATGCTCCTAACATTACTTAACTCTTTATTTAAAACACTATATTTCCTTTGTGTGCTTGCATATGAATTATGCCCTCGAAGCATTATTAATACTGGTTTTATTGCCAGCAGGTGACAGGCTTGTACTGTGTATAAAGGCAGATGACGTAACGCTGTATGTACAAAGACCAATGATATGGACAGTCTCATAGTCCTTCCTACTGCTCTCATCCATTCACTGACATTATATTTTTCTCTTTTTCTTCAGACAGACCTCTGGGAACTGGTCTTGGTGGCCCTCTTGGAGACCAACATCCATGTCGTTATTGAAAATTGCCGAAGCTAAAATTCTTGCCTGTAAGATCCTCACTGTCCCCTTTTAATATTTAGAAATTTTGTCCAATTATAATATGTGACCCTGGACCACAAAACCAGTCCTAAGTGTCAATTTTTCGAAATTGAGATTTATACGTCATCTGAAAACTGAATAAATAAGCTTTCCATTGATGTATGGTTTGTTAGGATAGGACAATATTTGGCCAAGATACGACTATTTGAAAATCTGGAATCTGAGGGTGCAAAAAAAATAAAAATATTGAGAAAATCACCTTTAAAGTTGTCCAAATGAAGTCCTTTTGTATATTTACAGTAGGAAATTTACAAAATATCTTCATGGAACATGATCTTTACTTAATATCCTAATGATTTTTGGCATAAAAGAAAAAT